TTTTAGGTTATTTCGGTAAATTCCCCCTACCTTTATGTGTCTAATGAATCAAGTTCTTAGGGCATACATCAGTAAGTTTGTAGTTGTCTGCTTTGATGATATACCAAATTACAGTAAGAGTTTATCGGATCATATTGCACATTTTGAGCTTGAATTAAAGACCCTTTGACAAGAAGGCATTTATGCAAATTTAAACAAGTGTTCATTCTGCATTAATCAACTAGTTTGCCTAGGTTTTATTGTAAGCTCGCAGGGATTACAGGTTGATGAAGAGAAAATTAAGACCATTCAAGAGTGGCCAGCTCCCACGAACATAAGTCAAGTAAGAAGCTTCCATGGTTTGGCCAGATTCTACTGGAGGTTTGTCAAGACTTCAGCAGCATAACAGCTCCCCTCACTGCAGTAGTCAATGAGGGTGTCAGATTTATTTGGGGAGAAGCACAACAAAATGCATTTGATACCTTGATGGAGCAGCTCACAAATGTACCAGTACTAGTATTGCCTAACTTCAACAAAACCTTAGAAGTTTAATGTGTTGCCTCAAGTATGGGCATTGGAGCAGTACTAACTCAAGACAAGAAGCCAATAACGTTTTTCAGTGAGAAGATAGGAGGAGCCACCTTCAATTACCCTACATATGATAAAGAACTTTATGCGCTTGTGAGGGAATTGGAGACTTGGCAGCATTACCTAATGTTAAGAGAATTGTGGTACACACTGACCATGAAACACTTAAGCACCCCTGAGGAAAAACACATATCAAGAGAAGACATGCCCGATGGATGGAGTTCATATAAACATTTCCATACATCATAAAATACAAGGGCAAGGACAGCATTGTAGCTGATGCTTTGTAAAGAAGGCAGGCGCTGATCACAACCATGGAGGGCAAGCTGATGGGCTTTGAATTCATTAAAGACCTCTATGCTGAAGATCAAGACCTTAAGGATAAATTCAACGAGTGCAACAAAGGAGCTTTTGGCAAGTTTTACATCTTTGAGGGCCTGCTGTTCAGAAAAAGAAGGATATGCATACCTCAATGTTCGTTAAGGGAGTTATAGTACAAGAAGCACACGGTGGATGGCTTATGGGAAATTTTGGAGTTGACAAAACTCTTGTCGTGGTCAAAGAACACTTTTATTGGCCACACCTTAAGAAGACAGTTGAAGCCCATTGTGCTAGATGTGTGGTATGCAAGAAAGCTAAATCAAAGGTACATCCTCACAGATTATACCTTTCTTCACCGATTCCTACAGCTCCATGGGTGGACATCTCTATGGACTTTGTATTGGGGCTACCTGAAATCCATCACAAAGACTTCATCTTGGTAGTGGTAGATAGATTCTCCAAGATGGCGCATTTCATTCCATGTGCTAAGGTGAATAATGCATCCCAAACAGCTGACCTCTTCTTCAAAGAAGTGGTACATTTACATGGAGTACCAAAAACTATAGTATCTGACAAAGATATCAAGTTTTTGAGCCACTTATGGAGGACCTTATGGAAGAAGCTAGGGACAAAACTCTTATTCTCTACAATTTGCCACCCCCAAACTGATGGCCAGCCGGAGGTTGTTAACAGAACCTTATCCTCTTTGTTAAGAACAAGCATTGGGAGGAAATTGAAGAATTGGCTGGAGTGCATACCGTTCATAGAATTTGCTTACAACAGAGCTCAACATTCAGCCACCAAAATGTCCCCATTCGAAGTTGTCTATGGATTCAATCCAACTACCATGCTAGACTTGACACCATTACCACCAGTTGAAGCCGTGAGTCTAATTGGGCAAGAAAATGCTAACTCTATTAAGAAGTTACATAAGAAGGCTCAAGAGAACATAAAGAAGAGGACCGACCAGTATGTCAAGCATGTCAACAAGGGAAGTAAAGAAGTACTTTTCAAGCTAGGAGAATGGGTTTGGTTACACTTACGACATGAAAGATTCCAGATTAAGAGGAGTTCCAAGCTAGCACCAAGAGGCGATGGGCCATTCAAAGTCATTGAAAAGATCAACAATAACGCCTATAAGCTTGAATTTCCAGGTGAATTCAATGTATTCTCTACTTTCAACGTTTCTGATTTATCCCTATTCCTTGTAGATGAACCTGTTTTGTGATTAAAACCTCTTGAAGAGGGAGAGAATGATAAGAACATAGAAGCCAAACCAAACTTGACTTAGCGAAAATTTACAAGATCTACAAGAAATAGACATGCCTGCTCCTAGTGAAGGAGTGATTACAAGAGAAACGGCTCGTTCATTACAACACAAGTACAACCAAGCTATACCCCAAGAATACCAAGATAACTATACTACCTCAGCCTCATGGACCGGACCTTTTCAAGATATACAAGAAGAAGACGGCAGCCCAAAGATAAAGAAGCATGAAAGCTGGCCCTCGTTACCAAGTAAAGCCCATACTAACATGTTCATTGTCGCCTTACAAGAACAAGGCACTTAAGGGATAAGAGACATGATCAGAGGGAGACATTCAAAGCTATATTCACCAACACCAAATAAGGTAAGTATTTGAATAATTGATTTATACATTAACAATACTAATCCCTTCTCTCTCTTTGATTTGCATTAGCTGAATAATTATTTTTATTATAATTTGATTTATGTATATTTCTTTCAATGCTCACATGTATTTTTGGTTTTTATTTTTCCCTAAAGTTGAAACCCCATTATAAAATGTTCCCCTGCAGCTTTGTAATTTGGCACCTTTAATTTTCTAATAGAAATACGATCTTTTTTCACTAAGATTTTGAAACAAATCTTGTGTACTTTCTCTATACTTTGTCGAGATTGGCACTTTCAAAGTTAGAGAGATCTTGTGTTTTATCATTGGCTTTCCATCGCTTTTTGTAGTACACTTCAATTCCCGATCACAATGCCTGCTCTACACGTCCCCTTGGTCCAATCGCCTGAGTTCTTCGGCTATTGTATCAAATGCTCATTTATCAGCATGTTTTCATTCATTAGACTTGAGATTCTTGGTCTCTTGAATCATACTTTGTACTATCCGCTGAAGCCTTGTGTCCCGAAGTTCTTACATCATGAATGAGAAGCATGTGATTGTATCAACTTGTATCGACCGTATCTCCATCTCGATTTTCGGTTTGTATTTACCACACTTCTGCTTCTTTTTTAACTTAAGTATATCCTTCATGTGAAACTCTGTAGATGATACGTGAGAATAAGAATATTGTTTTAGCAAGATCTCGCATGATTGCAAGAGATATTCTTTTACTAAGAGTTTTAGATTTTTATTCGAAATAAGTTTTTTAATCATTTTGATATTGAAAATTGTGTTATTATTATAAATTTAATGGTGCTACTTTTAGAACTAAAAATTTCATATATACAATTAATAGTATATAATAATGGACTATTAGGAAAAAAGTGAAGTTTTTTATTATATATAATATATATGATATATGAAAAAGGTCACTATGTAATATGATTCTCCCAAGAATCGACACTCTAGAGTTTGTAAGGGGATAAGTTTTGCATCAAAGAAACCGTGAAGTCTCAAAGATCAAAGGATGCGGAGCGAATGATCACAGAAAAACTGCAGAATACTCCTGATTTACCTCTTAATACTCTCGGATATTACACACTAAAAGCATTAAAGATTTTGCTAGATATTACACACCTACAATATGAATCTAACTTGAAAAGATTTTTGATAAAAAGATATATTAATTTTATTCATAAAAATGAGCCTCTATTTATAGAGGAATTACAACAAATTTGTCCATAATAGTTGCTAAACATGCAGAGCATCTAGAGAGATGAAATCTAAACTCTAAAGTGCATGTAAGAGAGAGAGAGATGGACATAATTAAATGCAGTCTTTATTATGGACGAAAATTGATCTTCCTTGGTTGTTTTTGGGCTGAATCCACTTTGCTGGGTTTTTCTCATGGATCATAATTGTAGAATGAGACGGTTTGTAGCTTAGTTCATTCTGGCCTGGTCGAAATCTATCATTGAATGCGCGTAGGTCTAAATTCGATAAACTGGAGATCACATGATTTGTAAATTGAATAACTCCTTCATCTGAGCTTCATTTGATTTGATTCTTCTTCGAGGAGTTCCGTGATTGACCTGAGCACATTCTCCAAGTGGTTTCATGCATTGAATCATCGTGATTGAGCAGATACGCTTCGAACAATGCACACAAGTCCTGATGCTTTTCATGACCATATCACTATGTGTTCATACTTCTTCATACTATAAATAAAGAGTGATTTATAGAAAAATGTACTTTCTGAGTTTTGATTACAGAAAAAGATAATTTATAGGGGAAAAGCATTTTGTTTACTATTGAAAATATATTTATTCAATTTTACCCTTTTTCTCTCTCTTAATAGTTGTACACAGATGTTCATCTACGTGATGGTAATATTTAGCCATTTATGATGTCAACAATTTTATATTCATGTAAACATGTTCATATGTTATAATATACATGTTTCATAGAGTTCATATACGAAAAGCATGCGAAATGGATAAATAAATTCAGATTTAGTTGTCCACGAAAGTTTATCTACAAAAAAACATGCAAAATAGATAAACAAATTCAAATAATACATGTTTGATTGTCTATGAAGGCTCATCTACGTGAACATGAACTTCATCAATCTCAAACCACTACAATGGACTATGAAGTTATCCACCAAAGTTCATCCACAAACATTGATGATGAAATGTTATAGTTGTTTATAAAAATTCATCTATAATTATCTATACACAATTGTCTATACATACTCATCCACGATTATCTCATTAATAGTAACAATGTCTTTTCACATATCCAAAATGGCATAGTTCACTTAATTTTGTTATTAAAGTTTGGCAAAATATCTTATTTTGTAGTAATATTATTTTTTATTTTTTTGACAAAGATAAAAAAAGATTATTATATATAACTCTTTCAATGGAATCTGCCTACAGCCCCATAAATTGTACCTTTTTCTTGAATTACTTCGAAGTTTTGTCACACGGGGGATTTGGTGTGACTTATCGGCCGCATTCCATTGTCAAACCACAGACGAATCCCAGGAGACAGATCCGTATCCCCATTCTTATCCCAGCAGAGGTCTCTTTCCAGATCTATCGCCATTCCATATTTTCATGTGAGATGCATTGGATCTCTTGGACTTTTCGCATTGTTCAGTCTTCTTTTTATTATTTTCTCGTTGGAGATCTTATTTTTTAATTTATATATATATATATATATGGGTAAATTTACTAAATGGCCTAAAATAATGATAAAATTAGGAAAGTGGAGCTAATAATTAGAAATTAGATTGATACATATTATACATAGTAATTATGACTATTTTGCCATTATAATTATTTGATGCGGTTTTGATAGATAACAATTAAATTAACATGCTAACTAATATGATACCATGATAACTGTGTTAACAATGCTAACTAATATGATGCTCGATCAGCACATTGTACAAATATGAAGTTAACATGATAACTATCAGGTTAATGTTGCTATTATTTCATAAAAAATAGGAGTTAACTTTGTTTGATTAGCACATTGTACAAAATATCGAGTTAACATGATAAATATCGTATTAACGTTGCTATTATTTCATGAAAAATAGGAATTAACTTTGTTAATTATATAAGTTATATAAAATTATCATGTTAACAATGTTATCATATCAAAAGTTATCATACTAACGTTGTGAGCACGATAACTATCGTGTTAACGTTGATATCATCTTTCATCCCATCACCACCACCACCACCACCACCACCGACACTGTCACCACCATCGCCATCACCAACCCCACCACCACCACCGCCGGTATCGCCATCACTTCCACCACCACCGGTCCACCATCGCCGGCATCGCCATCACTTCCACGACCACCGACCCGCCATCACCAATACCACAACTACCAGCACCACCACCACCACCGCCGGCGACTCCATCACCACCGACCATCACTAACACCATCGCCAACACTATCCCCATCATCCATAAGATGCAAGAAAACGTGTGAACAAAAAAGTAGAAGAAAAAAATTGTATGGAAAAGACAATCAGATAAGATACAAGGAGTCATTCGTCTTTTTATTAGCAATAGTTTGCTCAAAAAATTATCAGAGTTGGTCGGTTAATTTCCATATTATTCGAATCTTTCTTTGCAATTTCTATATATATATATATATATATATATAGATTTCGGAGTCAGATGCACATTATTTAGAAAAAAAAAAGATCCCCACTTTTTATTGTCGTTGGATCGCGTAGTAGCAGTAGAAGTTTACCTTTGTTGAATATTGTAATTGAGGGATTTTACAGAATTTCTAGTTCATACCCTCTCTTGGTTATTTGTAAAGTGCAGAACCTTTTTGATGATTCAGAAAACAGTAGATAAACCTAATTATTTCTGCAGAATGAAGGCTTTTATTCTTGTTGGAGGATTCAGAACTCGATTCAGGCCACTTACCTTCAGCATGCCGAAACCGCTTGCTGATTTTGCAAACAAACCCATGATTTTGCATCAGGTTTGATTTTTTTTTTTCAACTGTTACCTTCCGAATCAAAGTCTTAAAATTTTTGATCCACAATTAAACAGATTGAAGCTCTGAAAGAAGCTGGAGAGACTGAAGTTGTATTAGCTATCAATCACCAACAACCAGAGGTACACATTGTCCTTAAATCATTAATTATCCGAGAAAATACACTTGTGTGATCCTACTCCTCGTTTTTTTTTTTTTTTTTTTTGCATTTCTCAGGTCATGTTGAACTTTATGAAAGAATATGAGAAGAAGCTAGAGATAAAGATTAAGTTCTTCCAAGAAACTGAACCCCTCGGGACAGCAGGGCCTCTCGCACTGGCTCGGGATAAGCTTGTCGATGAATCAGGGGAGCCCTTTCTTGTGCTTAACAGCGATGTCATCTGCGAATACCCATTGCTTGAGATGATTGAGTTTCACAAAACTCATGGCGCTGAAGCTTCAATCATGGTGATAAAGGTAAAAACGAAAGCATTTACTGCATTTTCTGAAACTGAATCATTCTAACCTTGATTTCGCATGCTCCAGGTTGATGATCCTTCTAAGTATGGTGTGGTGGTAATGGAGGAAGCTACAGCGAGAGTTGAAAGTTTCGTAGAGAAACCATTAAATTTTGTGGGGAACAAGATTAACGTTGGGATATACCTCTTGAACCCATCTGTTCTCGACAGGATTGAGCTGAGACGGCCATCGATAGAGAAAGAGATATTCCCTAATATAGCTTCAGAGAAGATGCTTTACGCCATGGTACTGCCTGGTTTTTGGATGGACATTGGCCACCGAAAGATTACATAACAGGGCAAAGATTGTATCTCGATTCTCTAAGAAGGAAATCTTATGAGGAATTGGTCACAGGGGATTATATAATTGGGAATGTTCTGGTGGATGAGAGTGTGGTTATAGGAGAAGGCTGTTTGATCGGACCTGAAGGTTTGATTGGTCCTGGATGTGTGATTGGTTCAGGTGAGAGATTGATGGGGTGTACTGTAATACGCGGTGTTCGGATCATGGATCATGCCTGCATCTCCAATAGTATAGTCGGATGGGCCTCAATGGTTGGAAGGTGGGCCCGGGTTGTTAACATAACGGTTCTTGGCAAAGATGTTCACGTCGCCGATGCAGAGGTTTACAACAGTGGTGCTGTTATCGAAGAGCAAATGTCTGTAAAACCAGAGGTGGTCATATGATAATCATTCACAACTCTAATTTGATTTATGCTCTCTTCTTCGAATTAAAAAAAAATTGGTATGTAAGTTTAAAAAAGTTATTTTTAAAATAAAATAAAAAGAAAAAAAAAGGTTATTTTTTAATAAAGTTGAGTGACAAGTGTAACATCTTTAGAGGGCAGCTTCTAGAAGCAACAGGTTGGGAAACCAAGAGAGCTTCGCCTTTTCTTATCTTCTATGCTTTAATAACATTTCGTTTTTCTTCCATGACCCATTGAAAAAGAACAGTAGGCCACAATATAAATACAGACACACAGGGTCGTTATTTCGGTTTTTAGGCATTATTAGTGAATATCATACTGCCCTCTCTGCTCATTTTCGTTGCACTAGGTGTCTAAACAAATATTTTTAATAATAAAATTAAATAAAAAATAGTTTATAGTGTCTTACATTTTAGACCAGTATCTAAATTAAGACACCACTATTTAAATTAAGATATTACTGTTTAAATAAAAAATATCAGTTTCTGAATTGCATTTCTATAATTTATATATTTTCATGTATTATATTTTTGAAAATGAATTATGTTTTAAAAGTTGTTAACAAAAGTTTTTACTTAAATTTGTTAAAATATATATATATATGTATATATGTATTTTTTATTTTATTTTTTAAGATACTCATCAAAAATATCTTTATTGTATGCTTTAAAAACAACAAAATACTACAAAGTATTGTATATACATAAAATATATAAAATATTAATAATTAATTAATAAAACCTACACTAATGATGCCATATGCAAAAGGTGCTTCTGCACGGAGTCCACTTTTTGGGTTAAATTTAGCTATAGTTTAGGGGTTTTTATAAAAAAAATTAGGATCCTTTTTATAAAAAGTTAATATTTAAGCTTGTGAATGTTATAAAGCACGTGGCTCAATTTATAAATGAGTCGGGCCCGTCAGTCTTTGTGTGTTTTGTTTTTTTTTTTTTTAATTTCCTTTTTGTATATTCTTGCTAAAATGGTACTTTCTGTTGAGAATCGACTAGCCTTTTTTATAGAGATATTATGAATGATAAAAATATAATTGTAAATGTTAAAATTTTAAAGGTTTTAAAACTGCAGTTTCAGAATACTATTTTTATTTTTTTTGCAATAAGAGATCTTGCGCTTTTTCATATGTTAGTAAAAAAACTTAGGGCAAGACCTGAGTTGGAATACTCTGAAGAAATTACTACATCATTAACGAACAGAATAATCAAATTTAATATATGTATCTGATTTTTTTTTTTGGTAGGGTGTAGTCTCCTATTATTTGTTAATCTAACAAAAAAAACTTAAAGGTAAAGAAAAAGCATAGTTCGCTAACCTGTCGACGAGACGATTAGTTTCTCTATATACATGTGTCATCCAGATTATCCAGTTCTTTGATATGAAGTCATGGCACAGACGTACCAGGAAAGACAAAGGATGAAATTTACTAATCCGTTCTGTCAAAAAATCCACCACAATCGCCAAGTCGACCTCCAGCTCGAGTCTAGTAACCCGTCGTTCCCATGCTATATATAATCCATAATACACTCTTTAAAGCTCAGCTAAAGGCGCGGAGCATATCCCAATATTAAGAGCAAAACTCCCACACCAAGTACCATCTTCGTCTTGCAGTATTCCCCCTGCAGTTGCAAGCCCCAGTTTACCACGAGAAGCACTATATGTATTCATTTTAATCCACTCTCTTATCGGCGGTTTCCAAGCTATCATTTCCTCCACCCTTGCTACCACGACTATATTCTCTTGTAGGTGCGAATGTGCCTCAATCACCCCCTTAGCTATATCTTTAAGAAACCGCACCCTGTCTCTATATTTTGCATTAGACCCAAATACATTCCCACACCGTCATTTTCAGCCCCACCAAATCACAGCTACAAAGACTGTAGACGAGGGGCATCCTGCAAACTCGGAGCTATCCCTTAGATTCCCATAAATCCACTCCAACAAATATTGCGCAAAGAAGAGTTCACGTTTGCTCACTCTGACAAATCGGAGCCATATACCTCTCATTGCAGGGCAATCTCGAAGGACATGTATGATGGATTCCTCGCCTGCTTTACATTCCGGATAGAGCCCTGTATCACTTAGATGGCACCTCTGCCTTTCCATGTTTGTCATGATAACTTGATTAACAACAAGCCAGAGAAACACTCGCATTCTCTCTGGCACAACCACACTCCAAACCTTGCAAACAAACTTTGCATATCTGGAAATGGCATCGTTTGTTTCGTTAGAAGAGAGTAGGCAGTCTTCACAGTAAAGATTCCATCTTGACTCTCTCCCCAAGCGATTATGTCTTTCGCTCCCGTCACATTATCTAATACCACCACCATTAAGTCTTAAATGGGTAGAGACATATGGCACTATTCGTGGAAGTAGCCATCCCACTTCATTCCTCCATAAATCTCGAACTCTGTTATCAACCAGATCCACTGGGACCACAGTTTCGGGCCCCCACTTGAGATACTTATCGGTTTTCACTCCTTGAAATCTATCGAACTCTCTGTAAGATGGAATAGTCTTGCAATGCAGAGCACGAATAGGTACAGCGAGGGAGAGGATCCCCTTGGCGTAGCCCACACTGTGGTTTAAAAGCTTATGTTACTTACCCATTCCACTGGACACTCATTGACGGCTCAGCCACTACCTGCATAATCCACCCAATCCAACTCTCCAGAATCCTTGCAGCCCACAACGTATCCTCTAGGAAATCCCATCGCAGTCTATCATAAGCTTTTCCCTGGTCTAGCTTAATTAATATCCAGCCGGCCTTATTAAATTTGGCATAACGCTGTTCAGTATTTTAACCATCGCCTTCGTAATGGATTTAAACAAGACATTGCATACGCTTATTGGTCGGAACTGCATTATCTTCTCTGGCATTAACACTTTTGCAATTAAAACCACCAAAGCATCATTCGTCCCGTCAGGCAGGTTCCCTGCTGTGAAGAACTCCAGAGCAAAACGAACTACTAACGCCCCCACAATATCCCAATTCTCATGATAAATTACCGTTAATAGCCATCCGGCCCTGGCGCTTTATACTTTCCCATGCTTCTAACTGAAGCCTCCACCTCCTCGGCCCAGAAAGGCTTGTTTAGAGGCACCAACTCCTCACGTGTAAGTTCCACGAATCCCTCTGCCAGCAGCTTGTCTACTACTAGGTTGATATCTTCCAATGAATACAGTCTCTTGAAGTAGTCTATAGCCAAATTCTCCAGCTCGTGTGGTTCAGTAACCCATATACCATCTTCTCCTTTCAGAATTTCGATCATGTTTCTTCTTCTCCGCACAATAGTAGATACATGGTAATACTTGGTGTTACGGTCCCCAAGTGCTACCCATTTCTCCCGGGACTTCTCGAACCACAAAATCTCCTCTTGTTCTAAAATCTCATCGAATTTCTTACCCAGTGCTATCTCTTTATTCAGAAGCTCATCCGTTTGGCTCCTTTCCAGCATTTCTTGCACTGCTCAAATTTCTTTCATAACCTTCGCCATTCTCTCTTGCACTATCCCAAACACCTCTATGTTCCATTTCTGGAGTTTCTCCTTCAAAATCTTTAAAGCCAACGGCGTGGTCATCTCTCCACTCCAAGATATTGTAAGGAGTTCCTTAAAACTTTTATGCTTAAGCCAAGCTGCCTCAAAACGAAAGTGTCTTCTCCTTGGATTACCTCTCCCCTCGGGTTTCAATTGAATATATACCGGTGCGTGATCTGAAGCCAATCAAGGTAGATGACTGACCACTGCTTCCTGCCATTTAATCTCGATTGTGGACAGCATAAAACTTTTTCAAGCCTCTTAGCAACATATGTACGCTCCTCTTGACCCCTTTTCCAGGTGTACTTGTTGCCTTTAAAACCCATATCAATCAACGTGAGATCATTTATCCAATCCCTAAATGCCAGCGAGTCCGTTGATAAACGACCATTTCCACTAGCTCTCTCGTCAACCCGTAAAATTGTATTGAAGTCTCCTCCAACGATAAGAGGGCCATGCTTACTTTTAATTATCCAACACAACTGCCCCCACAATCCGCTTCTCCAACTAACCGTTGGAGCCGCATATACCACTATCAGGTGAGTGCTTTCGTTACCATTCCCCAACCTCGCATAGATATATTGCTCTGTCGACTCTATAATCGTAACTTCACCAACATCCGACTGCCACAAGAGCCATAGCCCCCCCCCCCCCCTCGCTTTGACCCATCAAATCAACTCGGAAAGAGTTCTCAAACCTCAAACCTCGACAAATACTAGCTGCTCTTTCACCTTCTCTGTGAGTTTCGAACAAAGCAAGCACTTTCGATTTGTACTTCTTCAACATATATCTGATATATCTGGATGATATCTTGTGAACTTGTTGGACCATGGACTATGCTTTGTTTGGATGTTTTGATGTGTGTTTTGAGTGCTCTTACAGTTTGACTTCGGAGTACACATGATGGCATAGAATTTAAACATCCAACATGTCGATTTCTGAAGTATCAGAGATGGTGACGCTCGTCACCAGGTCCTTTGCGAGGTACCACTTTTCCACCTTGGTTTTACACGTTCTCATGCTTCATTTTGACCAACTCTTGGCTTAATAACACTGGGGACAGTGTTGTTTAAGTCTGGGGGAGGTGGTTACTGACGTTGTGTGCTTTGTGTCATGTTTATAGAGTCTTAAAGTTGAGTCAAAAACCTGTTTTATAGAGTCAAAATTTTTGAAACTGTCAGTTTTTCTTGGAACTAACCATAGGACATTTTTGCTGATAAGAACCATTGCCACATTAGTTGATTACAAGTCTTACTAAGTTGAAAGTCATAGGTAGATCAATCTAGCAATGAAGGTTTAGGTTCTTAGAGAATCTGGAAAATTTGCTGTTAGCTCCACCTTAATGAACTTTAAATTTCTTGTCTTGGTGATTGATTCTTATTGATCTTGATTCTCTCTTTAAGCACTGACAATAAGGTTAAGATAC